TAAAACATGAAAATCTGCTATAATTTCACAAGTTAGCGAATTTTCTAATATTTTATTTAATGTCTGTTTTCGCTTTCATGAAAGCTTTGTTTAGCTTCAATATTAAGGCAATTCTATGTGGGGAACATTGCAAATTAGAAGCATCTTTTGGCTATTGTTTTGAGTGCTTATGATTGGATAAGAGCTTTTAATATAAAAGAAACTTTGTTTCAAAATAGAGTTTATCCACATTTTATTTCAAAAATGTGTTACCCACAGGTTAATATATAATCAGTGTGAAAACCAAGACATTCGTACATGGGGAACTTGCTATGCCGCAGAACAATAGAGAGCTCCCTAGTTCTTTAGCGCATTGTTACTTAAAATATTGTCTATAGTTGTATTCTAACTGGACGCTCTTGGAGCGTGAAGTCGGACTAGATGTTGAAAGACAGTGATTTAATATATATTTACTCGTCAGAAGTAAATATTCCAAGTCAGAAGTTTGCCTTCGGGTCTCCCGATCGCCCTCCGATCTCTATACGAAATATCACATTACGAACTCGGCCTTAAACAATCGTAAGTAAGGAAGTAAGTAAGGACTTTGTATCATGAACAGTGAACTGCTCGGGAGGTTACTGTAGCTTTTATAGGAATTCTTTGATATTCGAGGTCTTTTGTTATTCCAAAACATTCATCTATGTAAGAGCATATATTATGACATTGGTTTAGGTCATGAAGGTTGGTGTATCGTAGTGCATTTTCCTCGAGATGTAAACCGATACTTAGTAGCTGAGTGAATTCCGCAACGTGGCTATCTGATTCTGAGTTGCATAGCCTAAATTCTCAATTTAATTAGGGATTCTGTCTCTTCTGGATTAAGAAAATAATGTTAATATTCACGCACAGAGTATTTCTAGATGAAGATTGAAGCGATCATGGTTTTATAGAGCGGGATAACCATCTTGTTGAGATCGTTGCCGGCCACAGCGCCAACTATCGCCGACACTTCGCAAACAGTCTGCTTTTCACGATATTGTGGTTAATACTTAACCTTTAAATTACTTCAATTAGAATAAGTCTATCCATATTTTTACTTTGTTTCACATGAAAGACTATCAGAGTGAACGATTTTAGTCACGTCTGCATTCCTTGTGTGATTTTACCGTGTAGATCTAGTTCCTTCAAAAGCTGCTAAATATTGCATGAAAACTATTAACAAGAAGAGTTAGTTTCACAAATTTTACTCTTAATATATGTGATCTCAAATTACTTCGTGATTTATTTACATGATTGGGCGTATAGGCGAACACTGAAGTGAAAAGTTTTAACTGAATATAGCCGGCACTTTTCAACACCTTTAGGGCACGAGTACACCCTGCTGTCAGGGTCTAGTTCTTATTTTTTTCCAAAATAGCCGGACTCACGGTCTAATAAGAGCGTCTAGTTCAAAATATGCAAAATTTCTTGACCTAAAAGGTCATGTAATTAACACCGCTCGAACGTTTTCAAAGAGATCTTGCTTTGACTGATAAAATCAAACTCAGCAGACAACGTGTCGCTAAGTGATATCACGTTGACCTCCCAGGCCAAGAAAAATACTTACCAAAGTAAAAAAATGCCTATAAAATCGCCTTTTTGTTATTGATAAACAAAGTTTCTTCTTGTTCTAATTTGAAACTTTTGCACACACGAGACTGTCTAACGCTAGAAAGTTTCGTAAGCATACTACTCGAAGCTTTCATGCGATCTGCACATGCGCGTACTATTGAGGCCTAGACATATGCATTCAGATGAGATCACAGATACCACATTTGTAAACCAATAGTTTTTTTATCACATAAAAGCGCAAGTAGCAGTTATCATTTAGTAACGATAATCGTACATCTATACATTTGAGCTTCCGGTCATGTAATAACACAGCCATCCCAATAGTTAATTATCAAATTCTTAACTTCCGGTGGTCCAAACGCGACATAATACATAGATAGATTGGCTAAAAGGTAAAACTCAAGTAGACCTAGCCTTCGGCTAGTCCGACTAATAAAAGAAAGCAATGGGTGTAGAGTCTACTAGCGTCTATTAGCGTAGGACACACAGTCTGATGAAAATCACTCTATTACACGGTTCTCCTGCGTTTGGACTAGCTCCGTGTTTTTTTGTTTTTTGTTTGGTTGTTGATCATTGGATTTTATCATTTTACGTGAATAGATATGTTTAATACATGTAGTTCTCTCTTACCTGTGTAGTAAAGTGGAGCTATTAGTAGACCAGCACCCGTTCCAGTAGAATACCATGACAAAGCCGAATGTTTGAAATACGATGTTAGACCAGCGATGCTTGTGTCTGCAACACCAGCTCCCAAAGATGCTAACGATACAGCCGCTAGGTTCCAGTACACATTGTGAACGAGTCCCAGAGAAAGAAAAGCCGTCAATTCACAGATAACAACAATTATGAAGCGAACAAGGTATGGAACTCTCTTGGCGAAGAGTGGGAATACGAGAGGAACCAAGGTATATGGTGCAGTGTCTGCTAAAAGAACAGTCGAAGTTTGAATGTCTGTCCCCGCAAGGATGTCTTGAGCTCCAATCAATAGAATGATAAAAATCATATAAATAAATACAGGAGAGAGAAAAAAGGCCACGTGAAGGCAAACGCTTTCRGTTTCTTCRTTTTCTTGTGTCTTCAGCTGTGTTTTGTGATGATTCATGCTTTCTGCGTCGTTGTTCAGTTGAGTAGTCGAGAGTTAGGTGGTAGTTTTGAGAACTCAKTGCAATTTGTATCTAAGGCTTCTATTTGGTATTACTTCGAAGAAAACAAACAGTGAAAGAAAACGTCCGAGTAAGAACTCTTGAAGAATAAAACTAAACACTTGTACAGCAAGGAACCGCTTGATTGTCGTTGCACTTCGTTGGTTATGCAATATTTAAGGGCAACATGCAGAGTATACATTATGAATGTAGGACCTTAAAAAATAGCATTTAGACATGCTTGACTTACTACGAGAAAGGCCGCCAACAAATTAGAAAAACAAAAAACGATTTCAAAAGCAAATTAAAAAATACTTAATCCCTCAGCAGAACACAATACGCATGTTAATTATCAATTTTATAAACATCATTATGTATTTATGTTTGAAGATATTCAAACAAATCTTAAATATCGAACGCTTTTGGCAATTATATATGTATATGAGTTGATTGTAACTTGCCTGACGAGTGTGGCCATCTCTGATGATGCTGATGTCCATACGAAACCAGCTTGTAGCAATAAAACAATTATGAATCATTCTCTAGTCTTTAAGTATATTGTTTAATTATATGATTATATAGTTTCCCTGGAGACACTTGCATATTCGACACTCATTATTGACACCGA